TCCTCCGTTCCCATCGAGATATTAAAAGAGCAACTAAGCGGCAATCCCTTTGTAGTTCACCATATGAACGGCACTAAAAACTMTGAACGTGGCAGATGTAATACTAAAAACCGCTCGAATTAGCCTCAGAGTCGCCTTGATGATAAAAGCGGAAGGACTTGGCTCCACGTAGTTGGTTTTTAACCTTCACCCCTCGTCAATAATTTTAGACGAATGGAATGGGGTAAAAATAGTTCTACTTTCCATCCAACGGGTTGAAATCGCTATGTAATTCCATAGTATCATTCTTCCATATCTAAATCCTATCCCATTTTTTCAACATTTCAGTTAATCCCAAAASGTGCCGCGTGCAGCTTAATTAGTTTCATTTTCCCAGTTCTACATCCTGTGATGGACTTTCGAACGGTTGGTTACATGTACTTCTTACATACCGTCTTATCCAACCATTTCCTATAATCCATCTTYATTGATGACAGAAATGAAATGTGAACGTGCATACCACTTGCGTCCACTCTAAAACTAATAGAAAAGCAACTTCACTTGTTTGTTTTAAAGCTCAGCATCGTAAGCCGGATTAATCAGTCAGATCCCGGCTGATTTGATACAACTTCACACAGCACTTCTTTACGTTTCATTGTTTCAATTGTTCTAGTATTATTTTGAAAAAAGAAACACTGTTTTTTATTATAATATTGTTGGATTTGATTGTTTTCGTTCCTTTTTTAATTAGCGAGCGATCATTAAAAATATTCGTCGTTCGTTTATTGTTCGGTAACAAAGGTTGATACCTGCATAGAGACCCCCTGAGGAGTKCTATTAATGTCAGGTAATAAAACTTTCATAAAACGCCTAGGGGTAGATATAACTTCGCTTGTAGCCAATATGCCGCCATGTGCATTCATGTATATGAACGTCAGTTATAGTGCTGGCAAGATAAACTGATGTAATCCATTGCTGTTTGGCGCCAATAAAAGTTCACAAATATCGTGAGTTTTGCTACACAACACAGATAACTTATGACCAGCTTTAGGTAAACACCACTCAATCGTGTTGATGGCACCTGGGATTAGCAGAGCGTGAGAGACGATGCTAAATCAATATGAACAGTTTGGTTACTTGACGACTTCATTGACCTACTGATGTCTTGGGAACGGCTCGCGGTTGATGGTTCTACATAAAGGAACCGATTARCACGTAACAAAATTGTACTTATAACTACTGGACGTGCAGTTTCTTATAACTCTTATAATCATTATAGTGCAATCATTTAATGCTGAACATTAATAAGTCTTATGRGTGGCGGATGCCGGAAGGAGGTCGCACTGGCTACAATCGTTTGAAATAAAGGAGTACCAGGATTCTTTTGAGGCTATAGCAATATGACACGATGTAAAAATATGTATAACTGATATTCGACTCTCAAAGTAAATATCTATGAAACCAAAAATTCAACTATTTCAAAGGTTGAAATTATTGTCAGCTGAGAAAAGAGGGATGCGTTAAAATGCGGTTGCAGGCAAATAACAAACTTTCAGTCATGGTCATGTTGTTATTTCAGTTATTTGCGCAGACGAACAAGAAACGACCTTTTCAACCTTTTATTTATAAAAACACCGGAAGTATAATCCTTTCCACAAATATTGCAAAAATTCTATCATTAATAACACGAGTATATGGTTTGCAACGGAAATTATGCTCATCCCATACTCTTGTAAAACGTTTGCAATATAATACGATATTAGCATGACCTACTGGTGAAATACAAGCCTTTTTCCGTGGCACGATTTATTAATTAGTATCTCGTTGTTGATTTCCTTGGTCTTCCTTTCTTTATTTTAATTAAACAATAGTGGACTGCAAAGATGAAAGGGATTTTCGGTGTCCCGCAAGGCACTATATTGGGTCTCATTATCATATTTAATTTAACTGATAAAGAATATAATATTTCTCAACGAACTCCACTTCACAGCGACAAAGAAAAAAAAACAACAAAAAGAAAAAAAACAACAACGACAAAACTCTGATGTTTATAACGTGCTTAGGGATGCGTTCACCCAAAACCCGCGAAGGTGGAGCAATCGTCTCCATCAGTAGTTAATACAAGCCATCAAATAATAAAAAAATGTACTTATATTCCAGCTAATCAGTTGGGATTACAAACATACACAGTATCGTCTCCATACATTGACAGCGGGATGACCGAAAGCGTGGGAATTAAAAAGCGTGGCGGACATATGATAAGTATGCATGAGTATGCATGTAAGGGAGGCTGGCAGACCCAGCCAACGTGAAATCACACGAAAACAGGCGAATCTCAGTTCTTGTTTTTCCATAACAACTCCCCTTTTCCTTTGTTCGGTGTAATGAGGAATAGACGACACTTCCTTTACCATGGTAGCTTGCGTGCAGTCGTGATAAGAGTACTATGTAAATAAATTATCTKTAACTGAGTTATTTAACTTCCCGACTGCACGCAAGCTATCACTATGGATACACAAAGAATGTACTGTTTAATGAAAGAAACTCCCCGACTACTTAATTAGAGTTCGTGTCTGAAATGCAAATCGGACGTCTAAGCTATTGTGACACTTTTTTGAAATTGAAAAATTAGTAGTCTTCKCCAAAAAGTTTGAATTTTGACACACAATTTTTACAGTGCGCACAAAAAAACACCCACTGACCGGCTTACACGGAAGGTTTAGCTTTGAAATTATTTTGGCAGATGCAAGATGGATGCAATGGATTTTTTTCTTCCCTCTTTTTAGGTGTGAGTATCAGAAGTGATGAGTTTTAAAAGTTCAAATTGAACAAGCATGAAGGAGCTGACTCTCAGAGTACTCCACTATTGGCCCAGACAAAACAAAGAAAACCAACAAAAAGGAGATGCTAAAGCATATTTGAAACGAAATGCTCAGTCCCAAATGGATTGAAAATGATCCACAACACTTTAACTTAGCCTGCGTAGCGGCTCTAGGGAAGGGGGATGGGGAAAACAGAACGGGACGGGGGATCTAGGAAGGAGGTGAAAGCCCTGGCTCCCCTTCCCTTACGTTTCCCATTTTCCTCCTTCTCTAGAGCCGCTATTCAGGCTAACTATAACTAAGAAATGCATTATGTTGACTCAAGTTTATTACAGTAATTCATATACATGAATATAATTTATATGTCTTCCAGCCCAATATTGACCATCATTAAAGATACAAGCATGCTGTTAAATCTCATCATTTACAATCTCATCAATCATAAAATACAATTATATTAATACAGCCTCAAAAAAATATACATTATATTAAATGCCTCAATTATGTTTGAATTCCCCAGCCCTACATGGGCAGATCCACGATATTCCTTAGAGTGGGGTGTAGGTCACTCAAAGAGTGTAATCCTAAGATTTCATATAATAGTCTCCCAGTAATTATCATGTCATGTAAGACTTTCAATCACTATATGGTATATGTTAATAATGCCCAAACGTCCAYGATTGAATACACCATATAAATTAGTACTTCACCATAAAAGCAATCAGTTTTTTMACTAGCTTGTATATACAGGTGTTCAAAATGACCTAAAAAAGAGTTAATGATCATAGATAAAATAAATTGTGATCTAACTTCACTTTGCCATATGCTAAATATACTTCATTGCAGCTGCTTTTTTCTCGAAAATACACAATAAAAGTAAAGCCAGGCTCATAAAAAATGGTTTAGAATATAGAGGACTCTCTTGACAAAAACATATCCAAATATTTGTGCTCAACGATTAAAATGCTTTGTTAAGATATTCACGAGAATGGCCTGAAAAATGAAAGTGCTAGAGTAATGAGAAGTGTTATATTTAGGACTATGGGAGGGGTGGGTGGAGTTTAAATTGCAACATAAACAAATGAACAGATCATAGTCGAAACAAAATGAAAACACTTACAATACGAAGACTTGATRAATTATACTGGAATAAGATGAAAATCCACTTTATATTCCTTCTTATTYTCTTGTAAATCAACGTGAAACATGGTGTCTGTGACAAAATCTCCTTTCCTACACCACGAGTTGTCGTTTGGACCTGGTTTCCATCCTACGTTAAACACAGCCGAGACTGTATGGAATGGATGRCAGTCTTCGGGCTTTGGGCATTCAATAATGTACTCTATCGGGGTTCCTTTCTTGTAGTTTGATAAACTAACTTCCCTTTCATCGAGCGTGGTGCAAGGACCGTCCATAATGCTAACATCTTGAAWTGAGACCTTGAAGTACGAGCCSAKTGGTACAGAGTCAGGGGCGTTAGAAGGCAGACTTATTTTACCAGTAATTTTGATGCTCATGGCAGTAAAATGACAGCAAAATTATTATTCTTTGTTGAACGAAACAAGAACTGAAAGTGACCAAATAACATCCGATGATGCAGCCAACATGATGACATCACCGGTGCATCATGGGTAATACATTTAATCAAGTTTAAAAGAACGCTAAAGAACGCTAAAGAACTAGTGCTTTCGAAATTGGGTTGTGTACCAGCTTTCATTTAGAAAGGCCAAATATTTATATCACTTGATTTACCTTTTTGTGAATATAAGAAAAAAAAAATGAAAACTGTACATGTCAACTGTGGTTAGTACCTGCAGACCAACAGATTGTTGACGACAACTCTACCATCGCTATTCAGCAGGATGTTCAAGAGGCATCCCATCTTTATTTTTAATAAGCTAGCAGACAGAAACCTGATGATGATAGCAATTTCCAAAATCGCTCCCTTTTGATAATTTCCGCAATGAATGCTCAAAAGCTGATGACGGCGTACCATGGGTTGCCGCCCCTAAAACTACAGATGTTCAGCAACACAGTGGAACAAAAATAATCTACAGTTTCCCTGAAGCCACACCTCCAATTCATTTGCGTGTGTTTTTCCACCAAAATATTGGGATATTTTGAATAAAATCAGTTAGCAAGAAAGAAGTGATGTCATATAAAATTATCATGATTTATTGATTATTATTGTCATTATTAGTATTCCATTATTTTAAAAATTATTTTATMATCTTTAACAAGAGAAAAACTCAAGTTTAACAAACTGTAGAAAATCAATGTCGATAGATTGTTGAGGTTAATAAAATCTATTTCTTTATAAAACTTCTTCAATTTCTTTTTCTTAGTTCAAAAATTGACCCTAAAAGGTACGGAGTCAGCTCAGGACCCTAAAAGGTATACAAGAGTTTTATTTTCGACCCTAAAAGGTCCGTCGAGCAGATCTACCAACTTTTACAAGGGAKTCCCCTCCCCCACGGGAGTAACAAATGCATAGAGTTGATGTGGTTAAATAATCGTGCCTGCTTATGCATGTCTGTTTAGCTAATTAATCAGTTACATCTAATAAATAGATTATAACACTACATGGCAGTGAATTAATAAGTATAATTATTAAATAATGATTTATGATGTTACAGCTTTAACAAATGATTGTTTCATTGCAAGGATTCTGTCAGCCCGTTCTTTTTTCCTTTTGGCCAGTTCTGACTTGAGGAATTCCACTGTCCTGTCAGGTGAAGGACTGTCATACTTTCCATCTGAAAGATCTGAGAACAGCTGATAGTCCTTGTCACCAGGCTCTACATCTTCTATTGTCTCACGGAGCATTTTGGCATGGGCTATACGATATGTTTTGGAGACCTGGAATGAAAATGTGAATAATTAAGAAATGACGCTGAATTTGAACAAAGTTATAGTTGTTGCTGCTGTTGTTGTTATTTCTATAGCTGTTATTGTTTCAGAGGATGCAATAATAGTGTTCTTTGTGTTTGCTAAGATGGACAGAAAAACAGTTTTGTCAGTGTTTCTAATGAAGAAATAAAAAATAGAAAAATTTCTGTGTTTTGGATACTGCTCCTTTGTCAGTGAGGCTAAAATTCAGATTTACACACCTTGCAAGCAAAAGTGTACCGAGCCCCTGGGAAGTCTGAACTAGGTGGTCTTGCAGAGTGAGGGATGATACCACGGAAGATAACAATACGACCATACCGAGGACGGACTGAGGTAAGCCAGTCATACTGCCTATGACCCTTAGGGTAGGGTTTACCATTGGGCTGCATGCGCTCTTCAAAGAAGGCTGTTTCACCATAATACTCAGCCTTCCAGTCYGGYGTTAAGTACATYAATATTGTGTATTCATCCTGAAACAATATAGCAAGSYATTATTCACTAGTACAACCTCAATTGCACTGTCTGGGCTTTTGTTAGCATAGTGCTTCCTACAATCATGGACAAAATGTTTGGGACATCTGAGTGTACAAATTTTCATTTTTTGATGCTTCTTCACTGTAGTGTCTCTTCTTCCCCTCCCCCTTAAACAATGTTGAATTTTGAATGAAAAGCTTGTTGGTAGACAGCACATTCATGTATGAAGATTAAAACAATGGAGATGGGACCGCGAAATAGGGTTATAAGAAGGAGAACAATGAGGCGCAAAGAAAAGTTAACACCACTCATATGTTGTCCCATTGTATTTTGTCTTTAATTGTGTGTCGCTGTGGAAATGCTAATTTACTGATATATTAATATTATATTACTATTACAATACCTCATGATCCTCACAGTCTTCATGTATTCTTGTATAGTGAGAATTCCTGATGACATTCATAGACACATCATAAGGAAACCACCCTTGTTTGCCACTCAAAAACTCTAATGCGCGTGTCACTTCCTTCCACAACCTACTCTTCACAAACTCGGCGATCTGAAAAAACAATAAAGTACAGCTGATTGCTTAAGTGTTGATCAGTGGTAATTATGCTGATTTATTGAAAGAGCAAAAGTAAATATAATTCTAATCTTACTAATAGTCTCCTTCACGGTTCCCTGCACCATCGCAAGGAAGCCATGCTTTTACATCAAAGCGAGACAAACGTTGAGCCTGTAATGATGAAGGTTTCTATCATTGCATGCTCAACAGTCGTCTGGCTTTGATGCAAAGATACGGCTACCTTTCAAAATGGCGCAGGTAACTGTGTTAGGAGACTACTGCTTTCCATTTTCTTGACTGAACAGAGCTCATGCAGTCACTCTGACACTACAAAAAAAACTCTTTTTCAACTGCAATAGAATGACCAACAATGCTTTTTGGTCTCAGAATATTCAACATTATCTGAAATAGCTGTAAATAAATCAATGAGCAAAATGTCATGTACCTTGATTGACACTATCCATGAAACGTTATCATGYTCGGTATCAGCACTCTCATCATATCCTTGATATGCATAAGCACTATTATAATGAAGTAAGAAGAGTCGYAAGGCATCCAAATCTCCCTTKGTCATCAAGCCATCAAAGAAGGCAATTTCACGACCTTGGCTATCATGTACTTTTCTTGTCAGGTGATCTTTGGCATTTTTGTGGTCAAGAGGTTTGTCATCAGTCAGGGGAAAATCCATTTCATTGTAATTATTCATGGCTGATAACTGTTCCTATTGAAATTAAAATATTTACAAGATATTTCACAAATTATATTCTKCTTATCTAACTAAAAAACTTACCAGTGTTTTCTTCACACTATGCTTCATCTTTTCCTGTGATGTTGTCAATTTTACAGTAACACTATACAGACCCTGTAAATAAGACATTGCTGGTGGCTTATAAGTATAAGGTATTGTAGAATTCCACAATAAAAATCGACCAAATTTAGGAAATATGGCTGCAAGAACTTCTCCATTTTTCTTRTAGAAAACTGTTTCTCCATAATCGTCTTTTTTTATTCTTGGAGCCAGTAATAGTCTTGCTGTAATTTCGGGGTCATCTTGACTTGTTTCTATAACAGAAACACCAAATGCAGATTTTAATTGTTGCTGTTATAATATTCTTCATACTTAACCTCACAGAATGATAGTCATCACWCGACCCTTTTTCACAACCAATGCAGGCAATATTGCTTGCATTTTTGCTTTGGACTACCTAATGTTCAACAGACGTAAGCTCAGACTAGCTGGGACTAGAATGAAAGAAAGAAAGTTTCTCTTGTTCATATCCAGTAGAAACAATAYAGCAGCAAAACAATTCACTTTAAGAAGAGTTTTAATAAATATTCAATGCATGCTTTCTTTTCATATTAAKGCGTTGCTTAGGAACATAAAGAAAGATAACTGATTCAATAAATTTAATGCCCACTTAATAGTTGCCATACTTTGAATTGCAAATATCGCWAAGCAACCCACTCAATTAGTCTTTATGACAAGGCTACAACTGGTGTAGAGATAATTGTATATTATAGTTCATGAAAACATGTTTTTGGCAATTTAATGGTTATGGGAAAAAGTTGTGCAGTCTAATTTGGCCTAAATACTATAATCTTACATGTTTTATTTTAAGTTAACAGCCATAGATGCTTAATTGTATTCAAACAAAAAAAACAACAACAAAAGAATAAACCATTTATATTCATAAAGATAAAGGAACAGTAAGCTTACATTTTCAATGGTGACTGGTGATCATTTAAGTTACTTAATGCTATTTGAAAATACCTGTGTCAACAGTGGTAAAATCCTGCCTACGAACCATCGATATAAAGGCTTCTTTAGGATAATAAACCTTTCCGCCAGATAGCTTTTCAGCCACTTTCTTCATTTGTTTCCAAACATTAGTAGTTTCAAAGAACTTYAGTTCAATAGGCGAGATCCAAGGGATATGGGCCGATGAATTAGCTATCTGCACTTTAAAATAGTAGTCTTCGTACGAATATTGCCAAGGTGATACCATCCCTTGGATGTTCCCATGCGAAGCAAYGCTAAAATAAGCTTGAAGTATCTTTGGACTGAAGAGATTATCGAAAACAAACACTGAATTCTGGTCGTCTTGGAACTTTTTGAAAGCCATCTCTTCCGAGTCATCATTCGTAAAACATGGCGAAAACACAACGCAAATCAACAGGAAAATATAGGAGAATGAAGAAAATATAGCCATAATTCAGATAACGTTTCAGCACCAAACAACTTGTTAAACTGTTTTCCGTTTCATCGCTTCTTGAGAACTTGACATGTTTTTTTTCGAACATGCATAATCACGTGGMATAATCAAAGATCCCATACACAGGAATCCCATGAGAGCACAGGGATCCCACAAGTAAAAGTTAAAGTAATAGCTAACAACTTTGGAACTAWTAAATTTCATATTAGAATGAATAACCATAAATATCCTATGGACATATACASCCCTTCCCCATGAACATTCAGMTTCTACAACAKTCCAGTCCTGGCCAAYCCTTCTTTCACTTAAAAAAATCCAGAACATTGAACTGRAAGTCAAACTGGACAATCAGTTTTTGCACATATCTTGACTAAATACACTCATAGAGATTTTAATGACATAAATTTAAATGATCAATGCTAAATACAATAATTGTAAMTTAGTCTCCTTTTCACAACTACTCTTTGTTTTTTCAATTTTCTTTCAGATACATTAATTATCTATTTGTCAAACAATTCCAGCCATTTTCCACATCTTTTGGCCACATCACTAGCTGTTTCGCCTTGATTATTAGTAATASTTYGATCCAATGTTGAATATGATAGTAAGAGCTGTAGCGTTTCACTACCTCCAACACCTAGRGCTGCGAGGTGTAGTGGAGTTTGACGWCCATTTGTGATAGCATTTATGTCAGCACCATTTTCCAAAAGAATTGCTACAACACCAACTTCACCTAAAAACATGAAAATATAAAATCATAACTGAAAAATCAACTAATGGTTTATCATCTASATATCAAAGAACAAATGACATTGTTTTAATACTTTCCAGGTGARCCCATTGTATTGACATATTCTTACCCCATCGACAGGCTGAGTGCAATGGTTCCCAGCCATCTATAGTCTTTGCTCTAATATTAGCACCTCTATCTATTAGAAATTTAACTATATCAACATGTCCGCTGTAGGACGCTCTATGCARTGGTGTGTAAAAGTCTTCATCGTGGCATCCATGGATGTTACCATTCTTGTTCAATGAATACTCTACCAAGTCAAATCGACCTTTCTCTGATGCCCTRAGCATTAAATCCTCAGGRTCCATTTCCTCTAATTTCAATTTTCGTTTTTCTTTTTTCTTGGAGGTKTTTTTAGCTTGCAGCTGTTGTTGCTTTTGTTCTTGTGTTAATGGCAAACGTACCCTTGCTTCGGGAAGGAACAGAGTCGGTGAGATACGGCCACTACTTGAACAACTTGATTCAGAAGCAGACATTGTATCATCTGTGGAGTTCTGTGAGCTTTCAAAGTCGACCTCACACGATTCTTGATTWAATGAAAACTTTTCTGCAGAGTTTTTCTCATCAGAGTCGASAGTCTTTCCAGGCTCGGATGAATCTGACATTTTGTTATTCCCTGATTMAAATCTCACATCAATAGCATCATATAATTTGCTAATATAGCATCATTAGTGTAGATTCAACTGCAAATACCATTTTTTAGAGTTTCTACTGTAGTTTTGTTATTTCGTGCGTCGGCCATATTGAAATTACCCATAATGCAATACAGATCACATTATCGAGGCTGCTGGGTAAATTATTTTTGTTTTGTTTTTGTATGCATGCTTCATATGTTWCATTATTTATTTTGACCGTCGAAGGATCGATCGGTGATGAAATGAACAACGCCTACTTATTTCTATGTGTRGAGTGGGCATAACAGCAGTATATAAGAAGACTAGATCTACGACTTAAGGTGTGCATGCTTTTAAGAGCTTTTATAATGATCATGTCATCTTAAAAGATMTGTCGATCACAGCTAAACAAATAAGCTTATTTTTTTTAAACTTTCTCAAAGTTTTTAGTTAGTCTCTTCCATATTTCTTTAGAATTAGTAATGTTTCGACATGGTTTATTTCTTCAAAAGGCTGAATACATTTTTCCTGTCTAAAGCAGTTGTCTGAACATTTTACTAGTTTACTATAAACTTAATTCTATTTTTTTGTTTTCTATTTTTCAGTTATCTGATGGCTGTCATGGATATTCATTTTATAGTTGTCTATATTCTTTTGACTACTGGCTGTTATTGCATGACAGAAAATGTACCCAAGGGACATCTTCAGCCCTTAGGGTCTCACAGACCAATGGAGGGCTATATCAAATCATTGGATTATGTCCCATCTCCAAGAGAGTTCCATCATGATTATGTACTTGCATCAAAAGCAGTGATATTCAAAGGAGCTGCCACAAAATCAAAGGGATTTGAACTATGGACTGATGATTATTTAAGGTTGATTCATCAATATTCAAATTAATTCATTTTTATTCATTTGCTTAATTAAATTCATCCACCCACCCATACTCATTTATTCGCATATTTTCAGGGTGAACTATGGTGATGAGGTTGTAAGAGTTGATTATGGCAAGAAAGAGAACAGATATCGTTCTGCTGATGACATGCCGCTGGCTCAATTCTTAAGTATATACAARGACACTGATCGTTACTTAATTGATGCATTACCTGTCAAAATGTGGAAAGAATTTTCTTTGCCGAGATGTTTGTTATGTGGTGGCTATACTGAGGCATTGCAGGTCAGCAAAGATTCATGTTGATGACCATTTTTCCATGATTTTTAATATTTCAACCTGAAAGCTACAGTAATCTCATTATTCCTTTGTCCAAACATTGACTCTTTTACTTGGCTATTCCATAATTGTTTTTACAAAGCCCAAAACAAAAATAAGAGTGATCAACAAGAAATCAAAATTTTCACACAAGAATGCATTAACTTCAGGACATGAACTTTGAACAAAGGATTATGAGAGATAAATACCACTAATGCTTCTTATTTATGATTTGAATCTATTGTAAACAATATTTTACAGGATTCTGTTCTGTGGTTTAGCAGTGGAGGAACAAAATCCCATCTTCACAATGACAAAGTYGAAAATATAAACTGTCTCTTCAGTGGACAGAAGACCTGGTTCTTTGTTGATGCAGTGAGTTAAAACGTTTTTACAAGTTTCACACTACTAGTGCTATTCATGTTCTCCTACAGCTGTGTGCATCTGTGCAGCAGTTTCTAGATCCAGCTTCTTGTTCTGGCTCTTTTTAGTCACTCTAATCATTATTGGAGTCATTTATTGAAGATTTCCCTTAGCAAACACATCGTAGCACTAATATCATGATAGATGATAAAATAATTTCTGAATGCCCTATTGAGTGACTTTGACATCACTGCAGCCTTGAATATTGACAATTGGTATTCAAATGAACACAAATTAATACTGATAATWATCTATAATTCAGAATAATATTGACAGATATGGTTATTGTACAGTGAAGGTCATTCTAAGTTTTCTTATRTTATGACAGAATCATTCTAAAAGTATCATTATGGATCACATGGAYGGCGAATACTGCAGTGTTAATGTAGACAGTGTTGACATGCATAAATACCCAAGTCTACAGAACATACCATGGTGGCTGGCAGAACTTGAGGCTGGAGATTGTATTTATGTACCATATGGGTGAGATCTCGATAGACCAGTGATGCTAGTGCTTATATAGGTTTTATTGATAATGAGGAGTTGTGGGTTGCAATTTCAGTGAATTAKTTTTCTTGTTTATATCTGATACTAATCTGCTTGCTTGCCATGCATTTACATGTAGTTGGGCACATCAAGTGACATCACTGTCCAGGAACCTGGCTGTTAATATCTGGTGGTCACCTGGTATCACCTTTAATGACACTAATTGTCCAGGTAAAAGGGCATACATGTAACCATTTCATTATAAAGTTACCATGGTGATAACATAATATTCTTACTTTTACAGCATCAGATCAAAGTGAGCTTAGTAATTTTAAGTTTACTCATGGTGAAATGTTACGGTAAGAAACAGACTTCAATCARGGMCTGATCATTTTTATTATCAGATATTATTTATTTTGTTTGATGATTAGTTTTCAGGCTATTCAAGTCATCAACGRCAATGGTGGATCAATATCTTTTGAGAAAATCAGTTCACTAATTGTGGTAATGTTTTATGATAATCCCATTTAATTGGTAATTGTAAAAATACATAATAAGATCTTTTGGTTTCTAGCATGAGCACTCTGGAGAAAGACTGATAACCAAAGAGGTATAAACATCCTTAGAAGACTACTTCTGATTGGTCTTTCTATTGCTGATTTAGCTAACCCCTTTTTCTTGTAGAGATTCAATCTTTTGGATGGAAATGGAGATGGTGTACTGACTGAAGAAGAATTGAGAAGTATATCCACACATGTTGTTGAGGATGCATTTGGAGGAACTCCACCAGGGGAGGTAAGGCACCCCTCCCCCCTGATAATCACAATGAGGCACCCTCCCCCTGATAATCACAATAAGGCACCCCTCCCTCCTGATAATCACAATGAGGCACCCCTCCCTCCTGAT